CAATAGCTCTAAAATCCTCCTCACACGTCAATATCGGATTATCAGGAAGGAACGCTATAGGATAATTGGCATGTGCGGTTAATTAATATGGGCGGTGTTGGGAGGGGCCAAAATTAAAATGGCGTGTATCTAGGTGTGGTCAGGCGTGGTAACTTAATTTTTATAAAGAAGTTGATTTCATGATTTCATTCTTGTTCTTGGGTGGAGAACGTTGCATTTGTTAGTGTGCAATATGGAGGGTGACACTCGTTGGGTCATAAACCTTGGTAACAGCATATGTGGCGTCTCTCTCCTCGTTCTACCTTACTGTTTCTCACAAGTGAGCCGATGATCATAAATTAATCTAAATTCCATGTCATTTCATTGTTTTATTGTCTTGTGTGCTAGTGTGGAGTGTTGTTGGGTGGCTTGTTGCTGGTGTCTGCCGCTCTGATGACACTGTGGTCCACACAGCTACTGGTTGACTGTATATACGAAAAGAAATCAATATCTTGCGAAGGGATAGGTAAGAAAAAATGTATAAATGAAAATAAGCAAAGCCTTTTTACAGCATTTGCACTTTACGGGAGATATGGCAAGCTTTTATTGGAAGTTAGGTGAGAATAAGTACCGTAAATCCTTAAATAGAAGCCGCATTTGAATAAACGCCGGGGTAGCAATAAAATTAAAGTATAAATACGCAACACTAGCCTAGGAGTGACTCAGTAGTCTAGTGGATAATGCTTGAAGTTCCAGAAGTCAAAAGCATGAGGTTACGGGTTAGAATCCCGCTCTGGGCTGACGTTTTTTTATTTTTTATATATTTTTTCGAGATCCAAATACCATTTTAGGAAATAGACGCCCGGGCTTTTATTTAAGGAAATACGGTACATGTGTAATTAGCAAATGATATACGTACACATGTGTATTTCTATTTCATTATGCTATTATCAATGTGTACCTGTTGGTAAATTGTCTCTTTTCAGCTGTGCTTTGTTCATGGTCGGAACATGCTCCGCTTTCTTTGTGATAATAGCCGACCTTGCTCCAGTCGTGTTTGCTTGGGTAGCGTCAATTCCTCCTGATCTCCCTTACCTTAGGATTCTTATTCTCTTCTCTCTCGGAGTCTCCGTTATTTTTCCACTCTCGCTCTTACGACAGCTAGATTCTCTGAGTACCCTGAGTACAGCATCGATTGGTTTTTATGCCTGGCTCACAATCCAGGTTCTCACTCAAATTGCGTCTATTTTATTTTATGTCTCTCTTTTTTTCAGTTGATAGTCTATGCCCTACAGAAGGTTGGCACAACAGAAATTAGTTTATGGAAGTCGGCAGGGATACTCCACACTGTCCCTATTTATGCCATGTCTCTCTCCTGCCACCTGTAAGAATAGCGTCTTTTTGATATGCATACATGTACATGTATCAATAGCCTTGTA